CCCCGAGTCATCTCCAAAATTGAGCAATGTAACTTCCTACCAACCTCCAAATCTCCCAAATCCGCACAAGCAGACAAAAGACTCAGCATTGTCACCTCATCTGGCCGCTCTCCCACATTCCTCATCTCCACAAACATCTTCAGTGCTTGCTTGTGCTCCCCACAGAGGACATACCCAGCAATCATCGTATTCCAAGTCACAACATCCTTTTCAGGAGTCTTGTCAAAGAGTGTCCTTGCACTTGCCATCTCCCCGCTCTTCACATACCCTGTAATCATCACATTCCAAGAAACCAAATCTTTCACTGGCATTTCATCAAAAAGCTTCCTAGCCACACCCAATTCTCCTCTCCTCACATACCCTGCAGTCAAAGCAGACCAAGAAACAACACTCTTTTCCGGCAAATCATAAAAAATCGCTCTAGCTATCCCCAAATCCCCAAAATTAGAATGAAAATAAATAAGGGAATTTCTAACAAACAAATTTACTTCAAATCCATATTTCAAAACCTTCCCATGAACACAAAAACCAGTCTTTCTCCGTTCAAGCTTAGTACAAGCTTTAAGCAAGAAAGAAAACGTGAACTTATCAGGCTTTACACCTCGATTCTCCATCTGGGTATAAAGAAAAACTGCTTTTGAAGGATGTTGGCTTTGAGCTGAGCCTCTCAACATTGTATTCCACATGAAAATGTCTGGTTCAGTAATTTGAGCAAACACTTGGTGGACATAGTTTATAGCACCAAAAATTGTCATAGCACCAGCAAATATGAGCTCTCTGAGGGCTGCTCGATTTGAATTGAACCCTTTGACTATAAGGGTTGCGTGGATCTTCTTTAGAGCACGAAGATTTGTGCAGTTTTGCCATAGGCTTGACTGCTGCTTGCGATTGGTGCTCCTATCGTTTGTTCTTTTTCTGATCATGAAAATAATTTGTATCAGAAATGCTAATAGACCGTTGAGTTTGGCGGTTATGGTAGTTTACTACTTTCCGAGTTTGATATTGGGCCTTTGTATTCATGGGCCTTTGTATTTGATATGGTGGTTTCATGAAGATAGTGAGAAGCGAGGAAGAAGGAGTGGGGCAAAAAGGACAGAGAGGAGAGACAGAATTGTATTCATTCATAGTCTAGTTATGCTTTTCTGTTACAATTTGTGTATTTATCATTTTGTTATAATATCGTCTCGATAATCATAACTTAACCTTAAGTTCAGCTCCCAACTACTACTACTACCGAACCTATATAACTACGATTTTAACCCATTATAATATAAATCGAATGACTCGTTCCATTGCTAACTAAAACTTAATTGATTACCGGACTCATTCATAACCCTAATTAAGAGAAATTCTCACGTTGTTTTCGAAAGGAAAAATCTTTCTAGTGAATCAACCACTAGACCACTCGCTTGGTTGCATTTTTTGGTGATGAGTCTATTAATAATGGCCATCGATTGAGGTCGACAACTAGCAGAAAGATAGGTAGGTCCTTTTGAGTTGTGTGTGTTCCAATAGCTTTATTGAGGAGTAAAGCATGAAAGAATATGTGAATTGAAGTTAATGCGAGTAGCTTCAAACAATAATCTACAATCCCCACTCGTCTTCAATCAAGAAAAGGCCATAATAACGGAAAGAGAGCTTGTGAAATTTGTGCTTGGCCACTAAGTGTTGTTTGTAGGGTTGAAGCTTCGAGTAACCCTAGTCACCAATTGCAAATTAGCATTTTGTTATGTGTCTATTTGCTAACTAGGGCATACTGGTTCTATGCTTGAAAGAGATTTTGCTTGAGTTGGGTTAACATAGCTTCCTTGATATCGAAATGTTTGTCTAGTATCTCTAGATGATAGTTCTTAGAAGTATATGGTAGATGAATTGGGGTGAAACCCATAAAGTGCTTCGAAGGGAGTCGTCTTGGTGGAGGAATGGAAATTCTTATTATACCATCATTTAGCAAGGGGTAGTCATTTTAACTATTCGAGTAGGTGTGTCCCCTATCATACATCAAAGGTAAGTTTCTAGACAACTACTTACCACTTTCCTTTGGCCATCTAATTGGGGGTGGTAGGCTATGGAATAATGCAAATCAACTCCTTGCATGGCAAATAGCTTTTTCCAAAAATTGCTTAAGAATGTTGTGTCTCTATCACTCGAAAATGGTGGTCGGCAATCCAAGTAATTTAAAGATAGTGTTAAGGAACAATTGAGCTACAACTTGAGTAGTGTAAGGGTGAAGAAGGCTTATGAAATGAGCATATATTTGGTGAGGCAATCCACAATTACGAAGATGTCTTCCTTGCCCTTGGACTTAGGAAGTCCTTCAATGAAATCTATGAAGATATCAATGAACATTTCTTGTTATATGGGCAATAGTTATAATAGACCAAGAGTTGCTACCAGCTCTAGTTTGTAAGTTTGATAATTGGGGCACTCTCGGATGTATTGTCTAACATTTCCCTACCGACCCTTCTAATAAAAAATACCACCCAATTTCTTGTAAGTGGTTGCCATACCCGAATGTCCACCTAAAATCAAATCATGAAACAATCCTAGAATGTTTCTCCTAATTTGTTATTAATGCCCACAACCAATTTGCCTTTTCAAGGGAGGAGATCATTATGCCATTTGTAATATGGATGGGTTGGAAGGTGTGTGTTCAAGTTTGATAAAATTTGTTGAATATATGAGTTAGTTATCCAAAAATTCTTTATTTATTGAAGTAACTTAGAAGAAAGGGTAAAATGGCAAAGGAGTGGTCTTCTTAGCTAGATGGTTTTGATAAGTGCATCGGTGGTTAAGTTCTTCTTCCCCTTCTTATGCAAAATCTCATAGTCAAAATACAAAAGTTTCGCCAACCATTTATGCTAACTAGATATGAAGAGTTTTTATTCTAAAAGGTACTTAAGGTTGTGATGGTATATTTTAATCTTAAAATGCCTCGAGTCCAAACAGTTTCTCTACTATTTTATAACTTGTATAACAACCAATAATTCTCTCTTGTAGGCTAAAAGTGCTTGATGCCTAGGTGAGAGGGCCTTACTAATGAAACCAATTGGGTGCCCTTGTTGCATTAAAACTACACTAATCCTAGTAATAAAAGCATCGGTTTCAACAATGAACTCTTTGGTAAGGTTTGGTAGCGTAAGAACGAGGATCGACGATATAACTGTCTAGAGGGTATTAAAAGCACTTATAGAGTATTTAGTCCAATGAAAGACATCTTTTTTCAATAGGGATGTTAATGGCTAACTAACCAGGCCATACCTCTTTATGAACTTGCAATAGTAATCGACCAAGCCTAAAAGCCCCTTTAATTGTTTCAAGTTCTTAAGAATATGCCACTCGCTTGAATCTTTTTAGTATTGACATATACTACTTCATTCAAGATGAAATGTCTCAAGTACTCGAACCTTATCGGCTTTGAAAACACATTTATTAAACTTTGCATACAACTGGTCGATTTCTAAGAGTGTCGATACTATTCTTAAGTGGTCTTCCAAGTTTCAAATATAAATGAGGATGTCATAAAAAAAACACTAACATAAATTTTCACAAATGTTCTTGGAATACCTCATTCATAAGACTCGAAAGGTAGCAATGGCATTAATAGGGGTCAAAAGGCATGACCAAGAACTCAAAGTGATAGTGGTGAGTTTTGAATGTTGTCTTAGGAATATCAAGGGTAAACATGCAAATTTAATGGTACCTTAACCATAAATCTAGCTTGGAATAGATAGTTGCCCCATATAATTCTTCTAATAATTTATAAATTAAGGGAATAGGAAATTTATCTTTGATAATAATTTTGTTTAGCACTCGGTAATCTACTAACGATCGCCAAAAACCTTTCTTTCTTTTTTTTTCCCTACATGTGAATCAAATGGACTCACACTTTTTTTGAATAATGTCTTCAGTAAACATCTCTTGCACTAATTGTTCAACTATATCCTTTTGTAGTCCCGAGTATCCGTATGGACATTTACCGACGAGTTAAGCTCTTTCGAGTCAAGAAATTCGATGGTCATGTGTTCTGCATGGGGGTAGTCCACTAGGTTCGAAAAAAAAAAACAATCCGAAACTCATCCAATAGTCTTGAAATAACTATTGAAATATGCTCCCGATTGGAAAAAAATAATTTATAAGAGAATTGAGTCCGATAAGGTTGCATCACGTAAAGTAATGCTATAAAGTTACTCCAAAACCACTTGAGTTGGATTGTTTAGCAACATTTATATTTGCACCTTAAAAATAACCTTCATCTAACCCATTTCTTGAGTAGAAAGTTTAATCTTTTTTCCTTCTCACCAAAATTTCACCCATATTTCTTGGTAATTTGAAATAATATTGCCCACGGTTGGCGGTCATTGGATTCCTCTATTGTGTAACTCTATGAGTAACACATCCGCAAAAAAACATAATATCTTGCATAACCCATTGAAAACCCTTGTATATTAAAAACATAGCATATTACCTCCATTTGCAACCTCAACAACTATTGGTTTAATAGGATTCGAGTAGCACCTCAAGCTATTCTGTCGTTTCCAAATTAAGACTCGTTATAAGTAAAATCCGAATCCATTTAAACATGCACTAACTTCTTATTCACCTATCCCAAAACTCTTAGAGTCTTAAATCCAACCCATCCTTCTAAAGCATTCATTGAAAAGTGGGTGGTGAATCTTCTATAAATTCTTTAGTAGCTAGATCGTCCCCTTCTTAATCCACTTCTTCAATATCCTCATCAATTACCTAGATAGAAAAGAGTCATTTTTGTTTACACCTATGCCCGAGAATGTAAGTTTCATCATAGTAGAAAAATATTGATTCTTAGCCCTTTGTTTCTTCAAACTCCTTATTGGTTAATGTTCTAAGCCAGTAATTTAGCTTACGGTAGTTGAGTAAATTTGTATGGAAAGTGGTATGGGATTTTGTATTGATTTGGTGGATGGTGTAAATTTTGAGTAAGAAGGTGAGGGTTTGTGAAGTAAGATACTCGTTGGCTTTGAGTAGTGTTTTTTTGTTGTATGAGTTTGTAATATCTTGCTTTTGAGCTAACTCATAAGCTCTACTTAGGTTTTGAGGCTTAAATATTGATATGAAACCATGAATACCTTCTTTTAATCCAACCAAAAACATACTTAAGACTTGCTACTCATTAGTGGCAACTCAATTCCACAAAACACCAAATTCATGGATATATGACTCTAAATCAAAATTTTGAGAGAGATTTTTTAACTAACTCAATGGATTTAACTTGGCTCTAAATTTACTTTTTATTGTAGCAACATATTCACTCCAAGATAACTTCCTATCCAAGCTTTGGTGGTAAACTTGATTCCAATACAAAGCTCGTCATCCAAGAAGAAAGAAGTATATTGAAACTTCTCATATTTATCCATAGGTTTAATCTCAAAAAATTGATGATACCGATACAACCACTTTTTAATATCATTTCCATTAAGGATAAGGAACTACTTCTTGTGTTTTTAAGATTTGCAATAGTAGGTAACATCGGGATAAGGATTGTGTTTTTTTGTATTGTGTATTGACAAAAGGTTATGGGAAAAAATTGCATAAGGGTGGCATGAGGTATGGGTAAGATTAGGTTTGTGTAATGGATGTAGGTAGTACACTTTGGTGGGGTCGTGGGGGAATACTAGTGGAGGTAGAAGACTCGTGTATGGTTGTGACATTAATTGTTTGTGGAGTGACCGAGGAAGTCTGTGAGAGCATTGAGTAAGGTTTTAAGCTTTGCAAAACCTTCCTTTTATTGCTTATGAACCATCTCCCATTTTCCAAAATGGTTTGTCATGTTTTGGTTTATTTCAACAACTTTGTTTTTGGTTTTTTGAGCTAGCAACTTCACTAGTTCTTCTAACCTTTATAGGTTATCCATCTTTTCATTTTTGGCCATGGAGCAATACCA